CTCTTTCGTGATTACACGGTCCAGCACTTGCCGGCCAAGACGGTCCTCCTCGACACATGGACCGAGTGCGAAGCATTTCGCCACAATGGCATCACGCGCTATCAACACCACATCAATCCGTCCGTGACCAACCCGACGCTGCGGTCGACGGCGCGGGACGAGTGGGAACACGTCAAGACGATCTTGCTCCAGTACCTGCCGGTGCGGTTGTTATCCGCCCGATTCTAGCATTTAGCTTTTGATCTAGGCGTCGCAGAAGGCCGGCGCCGAGCTCAGCGATGTCGACATGGACGTGTGCCGGACCGCGTTCCACGAAAGCCAAAAGAATCGCCGGTTGAGCATTGCGATGGACACGGAGACGAACAACTTGCTCGAGAATTACCCGTCGCCCCACCTCTTTTATCGCGTCCAGCACGACGTGCTTCGCGCCCTCGAGGAAGGGCCGTTCCGCCACTTTATTGCCGGGAAAGGCTACATGATGATTGTAGACCGCATGATCCGGCGGTAGACACATGGTCGTTGCAATTCTGTTGTGGAAAAATACTAGCTTTTGTGTGCGTTGTGTGCGTGGGTGGAAATGGAAATGGACCACCGCAAGGGCTCATTTGTGCACGCGACTACCACGAGACGAAGGAGACGAGGGTTCAGCGCATCCGATCTTAGGACATGGTGCGTGTCATGTGCAGCGTGACGCGCGCCATGGACCAAGGGCCCCTCTTGAGTCATCAATGGGGCCAAAGCCATGGAGTTTTTATTCGATGCCACCATTCACACGACGGCTGCGAAGGATCGCTGCGCAAACAGCTCCTTGGACTCCACCACGCGTCGTTCAATGGTACCCTAACCCCGTAGCAATTTCTCTCAGCCCTAGATGATACTAGTAACACATACATACTTGTCTATCCTACAGCGTCAGAGTCCGTAAAGCCGTCGGTCTCTGCTCGTGACAAGTCGCGACGCTGCTTGGTTGAACGAGTTACAGGGCCGCTGCCGAGGTTCGCGCACGCTCCCCGGCCTCCACATGCGGCGGCGTCTCGCGAAGGAGCACGGAGAGTCGTTTGGCACCTGGTGTCGTTGCCGTGGGGCGCAGCGGACGGCAGAATTTTTCCATGTGACTCGACGTGCCCCGATGGAAGCGGTGAAAGTACGTGCGCGAGCACATGTACACCATGCCATACCCGACGCACTGGGTCGCGCGGATACAAAGGACGCGGCTTTTGTCCAAGAGCAGCTCGTTGCGGTAGTCGTAGCCCCAGATCAAGGCCTCTTGCGCCGACGCCGCCACGGGTGGCGGCCGATAGAGGTATCCAATCATCCAATCGTCTTGGTTGCTGTCGCGCACCAGTGCTTCGAGGTGCAAGTACCGCCGCAGCGTTGGCATCGAGTCTTGGTTGCCGAGCTGTCCGCAGTCGGCGCACGTGAGCTGAATCTCGGGGGCGAACGTCGGGTAGGCCGTCGTAAAGATGATGGCGTCGGCGTCCTTGGAAAGAATACTCAGTGACGGGTAGCGTCGACAGCGCGCGGTCGGGCGCAGCAGCTACGGCACTCAAAGTGGGATATAGTACTGTAAAGACTCTAGGTACCATGCTATGGCAAGTTGCACATGGCGCCTGGTGCCCCCGATAAAGAGGAGGAAACAAGACCGAGAGGTCTTCGACGCGGTCGCCCGTCCCGAGCCAAATGAGCTGTTTGTTTTCTGGCTTTGTCGGTCGGCGGCCGCTTCCCGGCCGTGCGCATCGCTGGCGTGCCTAGTCAAAAGACAGGTTACTCAACACAATATGTATTCGAGATGGCAACTGGTAGAGTTCGCGCTTGGTGCGGTATTCCTTGTCACAGTGCGGACACTTAAAGTAGCCGGTTTTACCTACAAGACAACATTGGTTTGACGGTTGTCGACCGATGCGACGTACTCTGCATAAATGTGTAGTTGTCGTCGCGCCACGGACTCTCGGGGGGCCAATGCTTGACCATGTACTAGAAAAGAAGGAGGAAATACGCGATGTCACTAGGGCACGCGCTCGTACCTGATCTACGAGCGGATCGCCGGCGACGAGGCGCACCTTGTTGGCGTGGACGTGTTGGTGGCTCTTGGCCCCTTCGTTGGTGCTGAATATCACGACTTTGCATCGCATTTCGCGTAGAGTAGAAGGATCGTACGAGAAGCAACG